CACCAAGCAGCCGCCGCCTAATCTACCATCGCCGCCGCCGTCGCAGCCAGAAGAACAAGAAGGTTCAGGGGAACCAACAAAGGGGATCTCATATATGAGGTTGGTTTGTAGGGGAGAAACAACAGTAGCAGCAAACAAGTAGACGACCAAGAAAATTCTAGGGAGAGAGGAGGCTTTTAGGGTTTGAGTTTTCCTAGGAAGGGGAGAGAAATGGACCGATGGGGGGTGAGTGTATGAAAGGGAAAAAGGGTGTGAGAGGTGAAATGGCTGAAGAGTAGTGAGGGAGGAGATGTGGAGGAGATCTGGGCCTACATTTGGAAAAACATGAGAGGAAGGGCAAACCAAAACAAAATGAAAAAAAAAAAAAGGGAAAGGAAAGCCACACCAAAGGATGGCAGAGAAGCCACACAAGAGGTGGCGGAGGAGCCGCCCCGAAGGGCGGTGGCACAGACACCAGCAGCTCAAAAGAGGGCAGTAGGAAAGGAGAGAAGTTCTAGAGAAAAGGGGGAGCCTCTCTCTCTAAAGCTCTCTCTTACTTCAAATAAGTTGATACACAAAATATGTTACATGGGTCATCGCCGATTTCTTCCTCATAATCATGCTTGGAGAAAGAGTATTGAATATAATAGGACGATTGATGGAACACATGTACCAGTTGTTGTGCCTAAAGAAAGGCAAGTACCTTATATTGGTAGAAAAGGCATCACTACCCAAAATATCATGGTTGTATGTGATTTTAATATGTGCTTTACATTTGCTTGGGTTGGATAGGAGGATGCTGCTCACGATGCACATGTATTCATGGAGGCCTTAAGAATACTAGCATTGAAATTTCCACATCCACCAACTGGTTAGTAATCAAAATGGCATCAAGTTCAATATTTTCCTTTACTATTTCATGTTGGATATGTTTCTTATATCAAATATGGCATACTAATATTGTTATTAATTCACATGTATATGTAAATATTATTTGGTTGATACTGGTTATCCATGAATGAAAGGATGTTGAGGCCCTTATAGGGGTGAGTGATATCACCTTCCTAATTTTCGACGAGGAAGCCAACCAAGAGGGAAAAAAAGAAATCTTCAATCATAGACATTCATCTCTAAGATACACGATTGAAAGAACTTTTGGTGTTTGGAAAAACCAATGGGTATGTCAAATTCATAACTTCCTTTGGAAAAACAAGTACAAGTCGTTGTCGCTTCAATGGCTGTTCATAACTGCATTAAAATTCATTCAATGATGATGAAGAGTTACTTCCTCAAGCAGATGAGGGAGGGACTAGTACGGAAGAGAGAGAATCGCAAATCTTCTTATGTCTAGTTAATATTTGTGTCGCTTAACAATACATTTTCTCATCCTAAAAAAATATTTTTTCATATTTTTTTTCAAGAAGTATGATTTGAAGCTATACATCTTCAATTTTCATTTAAGAATGCCCAATATTTAATATTATATGATTGATTATCAATTTTAAAATGTTTGATTATAAAAATACCAAAAATAAAAAAGAACTGTGAAAATAAAAACACATTTTTCTTTACGAAGCCAAATGAATAACCACAAAATCACTTTTTTATAGGATAAAAGCACTTCTATGTTGGTAACCAAAGGATAAACTGATTTTGTGCAAAAGCCTACTAATATAAAGTGATTATGCTAAAATCATGAATGAGTAAAATTGTTTCTACAGAATCACTCCAAATCAGTCCTAATTCAACTATTGAACAACAATTGTGTATCATCTTAAAGAAAAAAAAAACAATAAAAATTTGCTAATTAGCTAAAATAAAAAGCGCCAAGCTGCCTCCTCTTCCTACGAGCCAGCCACCATTCTCACAGTAATTTTCTCCCGAAATAACAACCGCCGATAAACGCCGAAAATCCGACGTCATTTTCAACCATTTCACCCGTCCGTTTCCAACAAAGTCGCCGACCGACCTTCAATCGCTCCAAAGTAGTTGGCACGTATGATATGTAAATATCGACTGATGTGTAGATTTTTCTTTTTTTCACTTGAAACGGTGAGTTCCGGTGATAATGTCCTTTGCTTGTTGAATAATTTAGTTGTTAGTTCAATTGCAACTACTAGCTTCTTTTTGTTTTGGCTGGAATTGAAACTACCACATTTGAAACTTTTTGTCACTGTTGTTTGTTGAATGTGCAGATCAAGAGATCCCACATACGCTCATCATCTTTTTGTGCTGGTATGGTGATTCTTATGAAGTTTAAGAGGAGCTGATGGTCACTACAAAGAGCAAAATCTTAAAATTGTGAGAGGAAATTTCTGTTCCATCCTCATTTCTTTTTTCATGCTTGTTCCTTTTCATTTGTAGTTTTCGATTTGGTTGCATTTGAGAAATGCACTTATAATCATGTCTGAACTTTATGGAGTCAATGAGGTTGAGCAAAAATGTTGTTTTAAATTCCCAATCTTATCCCCTTTCAGATTTCACGATGGGCGCTACCTCACCTCTTGCTTTTGCGTTCTCTAACTTCATATCCATCAACTGGATTTCTCTCTCCCTCTCACACCTCGATTTCTCTCTCTCTCTCTCTCTCTCTCTCTCTCTCTCTCTCTCTCTCTCTCTCTCTCTTCTATCGTGAAGGAGTGAGCGGGCATTAAAAATCATAGGCAGATTCTTAAAATTTTAACTTCTTGAAACCTAATTAAACTCATCCTCTCATTTCTCCTCTCTTCTTTTCACTCAGTTCATCCTCACTGTTCACGCATCTTCCGCAAATACATCAACCGAGAGAAGAGGGAAGGCACGCACGCACGCAAAAAAGAACGACAGAAGGAGAAGAGCACACCTTTCACCATCGGGAGCTCAGCTTGCGAGATTCCTATAGCAATCAGGTATGGGTATCGATGGCTATGGTTATTTTTTTTCTCTCTTTTCTTTTCTCCATTGGGTTGTGGTTTTCGATTTTGGGTTCTAAGTTTTGAATCTGGGTTTGAAGATTTCTAAGCAAGCGGTTGAGATTACATCTTATTTCTAGTGGGTTTGTTGATTTCGGGTATCATATATATATGCTTTCCTCTCTCTCTTTTTCTTCCGCCTAAACCCTAATCTTAAGGGGGTGTATTCAATTAAGATTTTAAAAGAGTTTAAAAGAGTTTAAAAGTTTGGGTGTATTCAATTCAAATTTTAAAAGAGTTTGTAAAAGTTTGGGTGTATTCAATTCAGATTTCAATTGATATTAAAAAAATACATCGAAATCTAGGTGTATTCAATTATGACTTTTTAAAAGTCAAATAAAATTTGGGTGTATTCAAAAAGTAATTTATTTTGAAGGAATTAATAAGTTGCCCAATTTCGTTAGAAAATAAAGTGGTAAGTATAAATACAAAAGGCTTTAACAAATCTTATGTGAACCCTAGAAACTTTGAACGTACTCTACGCTTTCTAGTCCTTGAACGCGTGTGCTTGTCAAGTGGAGGTAAAAAATCTCTTCTTTTTTCTATGCTTTCTAGTGCTTGAATAATTGATGTTGCTATATATCATCATATATCCAAGCAATTACTATTGCTTGTATTCGATGCACATCATGTATGAATAGTTGAATAGTTATTGTTGCCGTCATATATTAGGCTGCTGTTTCACGAGTTGCCTGCCTATACTTACACATCATATATATTAGGCTGTTGTTTCACCAAGCAATTGCTTGGATATATGAAACAGGGTTTGCACGTCTGCCTTATTACCAAGCAATTGCTGTTTCTACTTTTCCTTCTTTTTTTTTTTTTTTGCTGCTGTTTTTTTTTCTTGAATGGTTTTTTGGTTGCTGTTTTTTTTCTTGAATAGTTTTTTTCTTGTGTTACAATGTTATATGTGCACTTCAGATTTTTTTTGTTATTAATGGAGATGGAAGAAGTAGATGAAGTACTATGGAATGAAGAAATCGAGGAAGAAAAAGAAGAAGAGGAAATGGACGATGAAGAATTAGAGAAACATGATTCTGAAACCATTAAGATATTGTTGATGGCAACAGAAGCAATAGCTCAAGTGCTCAATGCTTTAATGGCCCTCATACATGATGGTCATATTGAACGTTCGTTAGCTCAACTCCCAATTTCTACAATTGGGTACAATTATATAAATAAGGTACTGAATAAGGATCCTCAACACTTTCGACAGCTATATAGGATGTACCCTGATGTGTTTCTGAAGCTATGTGGTATCATTAGAGAGAAAACACATTTGCATGATATAAGATTTATTTGTATTGAAGAAATGCTTGCAACATTTTTACTCACTGTTGGTCAAAATTCTCGATATTGTCAAACTCGTGACACATTTGAGTGATCACATTTCACAACAAGCAAAAATTTCAACAAAGTTTTGAAGGCCTTAAACACAATAGCCCCAGAGATGATGGTTAAACCTGGATCCACAGTGCCAGCTAAAATAAGAGAAAGTACAAGGTTTTACCCTTATTTTAAGTTAAGTAATGACTACTTCATTCGTTATAGGATGAATTTCCTATTGAAGAAAACAACGAGCATTCAGCATCGTCATCATCACCAGAAAATGAGGGAAATAATTATGACCAAGTTTTTCAAACCCAAGAACGACAACGCGAGAATGCTAACCAATGGAGGGTTGAGATATCTTCATATATGTGGAGAGATGCTATGAATGACGGGAGTCAAAGATGAGCAATGAAGCAGATACTTATTCGTTTTTATGCATTTAGAATTATAGTTTACTTATTATTTTTTTGTCATGAAATTACTTTTATGTTTTTACTTTTGCGCATTTTTCATAAACATGTAGACATAAATCCTTATTTGGTTGCACATTTGAACAAATTAGATGCACTTTTTTCTAAATTTTCATTGGATGTATTGATTTGGAAGTTCAATAGCTCAAATGTTTTTGTAAAGGTACTTTTCTCTTTTGAAAATCTAGAAAAACGATAAACAACCCAAAAAAAAAGAAAATATATATATTTTAAAACTCTAATCAACCCTTTTAAAATCTACGATAAAACTCTAACAAACACCATCAAAATCAATCTAGGAATTCAATCAAACTCTATATGGAGTTGATAGAAATCAATTGAACTACATTGAACTCTACAAACTTTATAACTCCATTTAACTCTTTTAAAATCTTAATTGAATACACCCCTCTTAAACTCCTAGCCTTACAAGAAATTTCTTTCAACTCCTTCTTCCCCCTTTTCCATTACCAAAACACCATTATCTGCTCTCCTCTCAAGTAAAATTTCTTTTTCAGTTTTTAATTTCTTTTCATCTTGGTTGGTGATATACGAATATGGTCTGGTTATCTGGGTTTTTCCCAATTAATATTATTCCTTTTGATTTTGAGCATGGAATTTGTTGTTTATGGTTCAATTTATGACTGAGTCTCGAGTTTGGTTGGTGATTTGGCTTTGATATTGTGGGTGAAATTTGTTATATATGGTTTCTCTGATTTTGAACCCTTTTTTTAATCTCAGTTAAGTGCTGCAACAAGTTTCTATTCAAGAACAAAGAAAGGTATTCTGTATTTTATTATTATTTTTTATAAATTTCTTGTTTGAAACTAACTGCCCTCCCTGGAATCTGTTTTGCTTTGTTTTAAGGGATTATTTCCCTTTCTTAGTGTTGAACAAACTATTCTATAAGGTTGTTTGATAATTGCTTGAACAACAACAGAAGTGTTCTATAACTGCTTCCATTGGAACCTGCAGTTTTACATCTAGGTTACTTCACAAAAAATTCATTGAAAAATGTTACACGAGTAACCGATGTAAAACGAAATATTGATAATGGAATATATATTAAATATCAGGGTATTGAAATTTTGCTAAGTAGTTCAAATTGTTGTCTCGGTAAACGCTTGCAAAAGTATTTGGATAATCTAATATGTCACGCTTAGAGGATTACCATAGTTGGGTTTGTGGTTCAGTTTGTATCTTGGAAGTGCCTATACTTTATGTTTCCTAGTTCATTTGTATCTTTTCAACAGGTTCTATAAATTTGGGAGTCAAAGGAACAAAGCAGACTCTAGTGAAATTTTGACAAATTTTTTTTTTACGGAAAGAATAATTTGAGTTTGGAGGTTCAGCCCACCCCCATTTTGCAATCCTGGCTCTGTCTCTGATTATTACCGACAGCATAAGCTTCCATGGAGATTTCCTCAAACAACACAAACGTCTTCTGCAACTTCTGCACGCATGCTCAAGGGTTCGTTCCCTTAGAGCAACAAAGCAACTTCATGCTCTCAACATCACAATGGGTCTGTCTCCAACCCAACCCACTTTTGTCTACAACAGTATCATGTCTCAATATTCGTCACTTGGGGAATTGTCAGTTGCTCGTTACTTGTTTGACAAAATGCCTCATAGAAACGTTGTGTCATATAATATCATAATTAGTGCTTATAGTAGATGTGGGTATGTAGGGGAAGCTTGGAAAATATTTTCTGTGATGAGAGTTTGTGGGTTTGAGCCAACTCAGTATGCGGTTGGTGGGTTTTTGACATGTAGGTCATTGGATGTTTATCAAGGGGTTCAATTGCATTCTTTGGTAATAAAGAATGGACTGTTTGATGCAGATGCTTTTGTGGGGACTTGTTTGTTGGGATTTTACGGAAGGCATGGGTTGTTAGAGGAAGCAGTTTGGGCATTTGAGGATATGCCTTGTAAGAGCTTGGTAACATGGAATTCACTGATATATTTGCTTGGAAATCACGGTTTTGCTGAAAATTGTGTGTTTTTATTTCGGGAACTAGTGAGGATGCATTGTACTTTGTCTGAAGGTTCTTTTGTGGGTGTTTTTTCAGCATTGTCATGCCAGCAAGACTTTGAATTTGGGGAACAACTGCATGCTTTAGTCATAAAAAATGGGTTTAAGTGTGAAGTTCCAGTGGTGAACTCTCTTATAAGTATGTATATGAAGTGCACTGGCATATGCTTGGCTGAGAAAATTATTGAAGAGGTGACTTTTCTGGATGTTGTATCATGGAATACTATGATTGGTGCGGTAGCAAAAACTGATAGACCTCAAAAAGCATTAGAATTCTTTACTAAAATGTCCATGGATGGAGTTTTGCCTACTGAGACCACATTTGTTAGCCTTATAAACTGTTGTACGCATTTGGAGATTCCATTCTATGGAGAGTCCTTTCATGTTAAGATAATCCAGCATGGTTTGGAATCTAATGTTTTTGTAGGTAGTGCATTGGTTGATTTTTATGCTAAATGTGATAACTTGGAAAGTGCCCAACGCTGTTTTAATGAGATCTATGTGAAAAATGTGGTTTGCTGGAATGCTTTGATTTTGGGTTACTCTAATAATTATTCCCCTGCATCCATACTCTTACTGCAAGAAATGCTTCATTTAGGTTACCGACCTAACGAATTCTCATTTTCAGCTGCGCTTAAGTCATCATTGGCATTAGAGCTCCAGCAGCTGCATTGCTTAATTGTAAGAATGGGATTTCAGAAACACGAGTATGTGTTGAGCTCTCTTATAACCTCATATGCCAAAAATGGTCTCATATCTCATGTCCTGGTCTTTCTCACAGATTCTGATGGTCTTCTTGCTGCAGTTCCTTCTAATGTCATTGCTGGAATTTATAACAGAATTGGGAGATATAATGAAACTCTAAAATTGCTTTCTCTACATGAAAAACATGACATTGTATCCTGGAACATTGTGATTGCAGCTTGTGCCCGCAGCGGTTATTATGAAGAGGTATTTGAGCTTTACAAACAGATGCATTTGATTCAAGTCCTCCCCGACAATTATACGTTTGTCAGCCTTCTAAGTGTGTGCACAAAACTTTGCAATTTTTCTTTGGGCAGTTCTCTTCACGGTTATATCATTAAGATAGATTTCAGTTCTTGTGACACATTTGCATGCAACGTTTTAATTGACATGTATGGGAAATGTGGTAGCATGGACAGCTCAGTGAAAATCTTTGAAGAAATAAAAGAAAAAAATTTAATCACATGGACAGCTCTAATTTCTGCACTTGGACTTAATGGTTATGTTCATGAGTCATTAGAACGATTCAGAGAAATGATACTCTTGGGCTTTAAGCCTGATGGAGTAGCTTTTACCGCAGTTCTTACAGCTTGCAGGCATGGCGGCTTAGTGAGAGATGGGATGGAGTTATTTGGGAAAATGAAAATGGATTATGGTGTTGAACCAGAAATGGATCATTACCATTGCATGGTTGACTTGTTGGCTAAATGTGGACATGTTACGGAAGCAGAGACTGTGATTTCCAACATGCCCTTCCCACCAAATGTCATTATATGGCGTAGTTTCCTTGAAGGCTGCAAGACTCATGGAGCTGCAATGGACCAAGCAGCAGGACATCTTTAATAGTGAGTCAGACTAGAGGAATTCCTTGTAACGTCTAAGCATTGGTGGTGCTTCTTTGAGTACGTCTGTTACAAGTCCTACCTTCCAGTTTTGATGCTTCTTTGAACAGGTCCTGTACGAGTGTACCTTCTTGGGTGGATTTATAATTTGGGTAGGTAAGGCTACTCTGAGCTTTAAACAGAGGAAACTAAGAAGAGTTGAGGCAATGAAGCATTGCCTTTTCCTTTTTTTTTTGGCTTGATTTCAGGTGAAAATACTTCTCATGCGAATTGTGGACCCTATAATTCCATTACCATTTCAGCCCCTCCCCCTCCTTCCTACTTGATTGCAATGCTGTCCATTGCACAAATTTCAGGTCACCATTGTCCTATTGGATATGTATGTATTTTGAGGATGTCATGTCAGATGTGCTTGCATTTCAAAGACATCTGCACGAGTACAGAAACAAGATTCAAGTATTGTCAACTAAAGGGTAAGAACAAGAGTTTTTTTACATTTATAATAAAGCATTCTTGTTTAGAGCACGGTTAAACAAGTTTTTTTGGGTGATTTTTATTACAAACTTCTTAAATGGTGTTTTGAAAAAAAATCCAAGCACCATTCTGATATCTAATTCAGCGATCAAAAAATGGTCAGTTTCACTTCTCAGTGCTTCCCTACAGCCCCGCCGCTGCCGCCCGGCCCGCTCCCCTCTCTAGGAAGCCATTCCCCACTTCATCTCCTCTCTCGTCTACCACCAAGCACCCATCACCACAGACCTCTCACAACCATCGTCAATTGACTCTTCTCAAATTCATGGTCGCAGCACCCTTAATCTTCGATTCTTCGCCATTGATTTTTCCTTTCAAAATATCTGGGTTTTTTTTTCTAGTCTAACCAAATTACCCAAAATTGGTCAGAAGTGGGGAACCTTAACCCCAAATTACACACAACATTTATCGGATTTTTGTCTCTCTTACTTTACTCTTGATCTGATTCTTTGATTTATTTCAGTGAACAAAGGGCCTTTCCAATGCAATGTGTTGTTTAGCAGGGTATGATAAGTGTTTTAGTGGTTCCTTTCCAAGAGGTTGGCTGAACAGGGTACGGTTTCTATCAATATACCTATATGTATTATATACATATGCAATTGTTCTCCTGCCAATCAATCCTGCATGTCATGGTATCAGCTTGTCAGTTTGGACTTTTTAGTAGGTGGATTCTTGTTTGAATGTATAGTTCACACTCAAGATTGAGTCTGAAAACATAGCATGCTAATATTTGGCAAGAGAAAATTTGTATATAAATATGTCTTTGTGTTTGTTCTTATCTCTATTTGGGTTTTTCATCTGGGAGGAGTAGTCAACATTTGGGTAAATTTGTGAGATTAGTGGAAAACCTATTTTGGTTAGAATTTCCCTTTATCATTTAGGGAAAAAGAGTCAAACTCATATATATTGGAAAGTTAAATTTGATAGGTTTGTGGGATATGCACAACGTATGAGATGAGACTTTTATATGTAAATATTGACTAATGTGTAGATTTTCTTGAAAAGGGTTATGAATTATGAACTAAAGTTTGGATAACAGATTGTGTACTGAAAAGTTTAGAAAAAGAAAAAGGAAGCATGAGAGAGCTTTTATCTTTCCGAACTTCGGCGTTGGCCTAAGAAGCGTCCAAGGAAAGTTTAAAACAATCTGTTTTTTTTTCTTTACCAAGCACTTGGCATGGTAAATTGGTTTGGGGAAGGTCTTCCTGTTTAATTGATGTGTTTCCTGCACTATTGTGCTGAATGAATAGTACGATATACTAAATATCTGCCATAAACTACTCGGTTTTTTTGTTGCTGGCATTGAAACTGCTAGTTCTATAGTTGTAGAGAAATTTTCAAGGTAAAGCTAATGACAGTAATTTATTTTGTGGAAGGTGGGTATTGACATGCTTGTAGTGTGGATAGAGGTTGCTATAATCTCTTCTTCAACATTAGCATGTGGCATGCAATGTTTTTGTAATGATCATAGGATCTACTCATCAGGTTTGATGCAATTTTAATACTGATATCGGTTGTGTGTTCATGGTATGCCATTCCGAAACAAAAAGAATTCATGTTCTTGAGTTTTACATTTATTATTTATTATCTTTTTCTATATGAACCGAGTGATGTATTGTTTCGAGCAATCTCATTTTTAAGGCGCCTTTATTTTGTCTGTCTACTTGTTGAGTATAATTTCTCATCATAGTTAGTATTTTGAATTATCTAATGTTTTCATAGCAAGTTGAAAACCGTGTTGCATCATTCAATGTTGGAACCAGTTCCCTTCTTTAACTTGAAATCCAACTTTGGTTCCTTTAATAGGGATTGTTGTTTGTTAAATGTGCAGATCCGGAGAACCCACATAGGCGTGCCATTCTTTATGTACTGGTATGCTGATTCTTCTGAAGTTGTAAAGGAGATGGTGGTCACTACAAAAAGCAGAATCCTAAAACTGTGAGATGAAATTTCTCTCTTATCTCCTTCCTTGTTCCTTTAAAATTACTGTAGTTTTTTATTTGTATGAGTTTGAGAAATGGATTTATAGTCCTAGCTGTAGTTTTTATGGTGTCAGTGACGGGTCAACGAAAATGCTTGTTTAAATTCTCTATCCTAAGGATTAAATGAACTTGATAATATAGATTTTGTTTCTATAATGCCCATTGGTTAACTTTGTGTACTAATACTCTTTCATTGTCTTTCTTCTCTGTGTGTTTTCATTCTGGTTATCTCTTTTGTTCAATTTGCTCAACTTCTTTCCTGTTCAGTTTTTCAGAATAAATAAGTTGCTACATGTATTTTTCTTTCTACAGGTCCACATTTATGTGAAAGAAAATTTGGTTGGTATTCAATTTTCTCAACCGGGGGGTTTGTCTAATTTTGTAGATCAGAAGAGCTACAGGTCCACATGCATGTTGGTGTTATTAGTGGTTTCTTGAGTGATTTTTCTTAAAGATTAATCTGTTTGCTGGGTTTTACAGTGAATTAGTTTGACGGGCCTAGAGTTTAGAAACCCACAAACAACTTATCTTTGGGTTTTCACCTGAAAGGTATATATGCTCTTCCCTTTAAGACTTTCTGTTTATTTGTCTTTTAATTGGTTAGGTATGATTGTTGGGCTTATGTCCTCCATTTTGAAGGATTCTGAGAAGACATATTTAGGTTGCACCGTGTTTATCAAATTTACCCCGTATATTAACTGTTTGATCCAAAGGGAACCTTTCATTTGATTAGATTCAGACAAAAGAAAACCCTACCATGTTTGATAGGGAGGATTAGATTGGACTAGCTTGACTAGTAAAATGCTTAGATTTCATGTGCAATCAAGGAAGAATGTGGGTGTTGTCTTGTAACTTGGAGGATTAAGGTGAACAATTCATTTGAGATTGATTGATGTCTAAAACTTATCCCCACTAATCCCCTTGAAGTGGGATTAGTAGGGATAAGTTTAGGCATGAACCTCTCATGAATAGTCCATCATAATCCTCCAAGTTAGAAAACAACACCCATACTATTCCTTGATGGCACATGAAATCTAAGCATTTTGCTAGTCCAAGTTAGTCCAATCTAATCCTCCCTATCAAACATGGCCTAGTTATTAGAAAACAAAACGGCAAAACAGTGACAGAAGGATCTGGCTTCTCCTTTTCTCTGTCTTTTCTTCATTTCGTGGCTCCTTCAGATAGAAAACTCAAAACGTTCTGGTCTGAAACACAAACTAGGTGGTTTATTATTAGAAGTCACATCTCATCTCACAATAGCAACTCAGACCCTCTTACACTCAACATCCACTCCATATATCAATCTAATAACCATGCATCATCTGCTGTACTTAGGTGTTTATCTCCGATATTAGCGATATAGCACGTAAACCTAGATCCGGGTTCTTACAATGGAGCTATTAAGTTTGGTTTTGAGTATCCCTGTTCTGTTTTGTTTCTACTTTGAGTTTGGACCTTGCTGGTTTGCAAGGCATGTATTTCATTTGGCTCAAAGGTCTACGTGCATGCTTTTCTTAATGGTCTACATTTTTCTGTTGTCTCTGAATTGCAGCGTGTCATTAGAACCTTCCTTTCTATTTGGATTAAATACTCCTTTATTTATTGAAAGCTCAAAGGAAAAGCCTCATACTCGAAGAAATAGATGTGGTACGACAGAGTGGGCTAAACTTTTCAGCATTTGTGCAAGAGTGTAGAATAAGTTTAACTTTAGCAAACTGTTGGGAATTTTTATGTATGTACTTCTAACTAGGAAAATGTATTCTTTAATTGCAATTTTGTAGTTCGGACAACAATGTATTCCAAATGACTCATTGCATATAGTTATTTCAAGTGTATTACATCTAATTATTTCAAATATATTCAATCTATTAGTGTCTTTTTTATATATATATAACAAATTTTGCTTTATTGTCAAATCCAAATTCAATAACCCCGAGTCTATTTGGATGGAGTGATTTCAAATCTAGGATTTATAGTTAAACGGTTTATTGAGACTACTATAATACATGTATGCAAAGATTTAAATAAGATGGGGAATGAAGAAAACATTTAGTCTTTTTAAATTCATCCCAAATGTACTACATCTTGTAATTTCAAATAAATAAAATTAAATCTCTCCAAAAAAAAAAAAATCTAGTTATTTCAAATACATACATAAAATCAAATGTTTTCTAGTTTTCTTTAGTAAATTTAGCTTTGTTGTCCAATCCAAATACTTTCTTTCAAACACCTTCATCTATTCTCAATTGAATCAAAACACAATGACCTCCGAAAACTATAAAAAAAAAATATTCAAAATATTTAAAAAATTAAAAAAATCAATTAACTATTCCCTAACAAAGGACCATGGTATTCAGAAGGGGAAAAAAAAAGCAGCATGGTATTGGTGGGGAGTTGAGAGATTTACCAAAAAGCAACTAGGGCATTGGTGTGCTTCGGAAAAGTTTTTTTCTTTCTAAGTTATGCAAGTTGTTGTAGACTTGAAAGAGACATAATAATAATATAATTAAAAAGAGATATTTAGTTAAATACCCATTCTTAGCACCAATAATATAAATAAACCCTATACTATTTAATTTCTATAAACAAACCCAAAAAATGACAGCTTTAATTTTGATTATTAAATTACTTCGATGTCCTATTGAGTGTTTTGGGCTTTTTTATGAGATTTTGGGGTTGAGTTTGTTTTAAGGAATCAATGGCAATTTTGTAATTTAAAAGAAGTTAAAAGCTTTTTTATTATGTTGTAAATGGATTTTGGGTGTGTTTCTAAAATCCATTTCATATAGGTTTTTTTTTTATAATTAGGGCTCCTATATTGGTTATAATAGTGAATCTCCCAATTAAAAATTGTAAAGATGTGAATCTCTCATTAACTATAAAGTATTGCCAATGCAGAAAAACTTGGACAGAGACTTTTCTATGTCACGTGACAGAGTGATAACATGTGTTACAGAATCAGAATCAAATGAAAATTTTGTAACACATATTATGTTTTTAAAATATCAGTATTTGCGGTCAACGGAGTCTAACCGAGTGGGAAATTGCCTTTACTTGCAGACCAAAGGTCTTAGATTCGAATTCCCACGACATCATAGTTGTGTGTGTATCGTTTATACTCCCAAAAAAATATCAGTATTTGCGACTCGTCAAATACTTGCTACATGACAAAGAGTCCCCACTCAAAGTATTACTCTGAAAATTAGGTGCTATGAAATGAAGCTTTCAGACTATTATTAAATCAATATGCAGGAATGTGACCCCTCCAAGTTGTGCTCCATGAGCGACAGTTTCTTTCAGACTGGAATGTGACCCCATAAAACAAGGGGTGTGTGGGGTTGAAGATGGTTTGCATCACACATTTTAACTGCTTTGACATATCCAAGAGTCACTTAACGTCATGCTGTAGCAGCAAAGCAACTCGCTAGCAGAGTTCTTATCCTCTTTGTTCTTCCTCTGTTTGTTGATTTTAATGGGCCCACCCCATTCCACCCACACCTGCTGCTTGGCCCATGGATTAATTCAGTTCAAACTCCAACTTTCCATTTTTATAGTATTTTCTTTTTCCTTTTTCTTTTCCTTTCTAGATGGGGGAGAAATTTAAACAAGAAGATATAGATTGTAGATATTCAGTTGCTTGGAGCATTATTTTGTATTATATGCTCTCTTTGGGATTGGAATATCAGATGCCAAAATGGAGCATCCTTATCCTTTCACTTTTACACGGCATATTTTGGACTATTTCCCTATCTTCATCCTAGCTACTAAGGTTTAATAGAATGTTATTGTGATCACAAATTAGAGTGATTATAATGTGGTGTTGAGTACGTCTACGTGTTATGACTTGTCTATGTGTTATAATATGAGTAGATATATACATTTTTTTATATTACTCCCTAAATGTGGGAAATAGCAACTGTATCGTTCATTTATGTAATAACACATGAATAGGTTATACCATGTGAATCAATTATGTCACGTAAATAGGTTATTCTAACAATTTAGGAAGAAAACTTGATCGTAGACCCTTGTTTCTTCGTTTGCATCCTTTCTAAAAACACACTTGCACACCCAAAACAAGAATTGATGAACATGCCATAAATAATTTCTTGCACAGATTTGTTTAGACAAACTCTGCTCTTGAACCTCTCTTGCAATTAAACGGTTTGAAGTGGTGGCCAAGACATTAAAGATATGGTGGAAAATCTCTTGATGAAAATGATTTCTAGAAGAAGTAACCATTCAATCCGAAAAGATCAGGTAATGCTGGTGACCTGACACAACATTAGCCAATCCAAGCTAAGCATTTGAGCTGCTAATGGCCCACAATTAAGGAAAAAATTAATCAGAAATTAGATCATCAGCACGGTTTTGGTGTGATTCAGGCTCATTTGCTTTATCTATCATCAGATAAGATCTGGTAAACCACTTGCATCATGGCTTAGGCAACTTGATTAGAGTGGGGCCCATATTTGCATATAGGTCAAAAAAAAAACATTAGGGTTTGTGGTGATCATCAAGATCCAAAACGCATGGCTTTATTGCATGGTAGAGAATCACATTGATTTCATGTATAATGTGTTCTCATGTATGATATAATCATGGATTTGTATATAATATAAAGTTGGGATTGGGAACCTTTTGATTATTTTGGGGAAAAAAGAAGAGGGTGTGATGAGCTTGGCATCAAAAGGAAGAAGCAAAATCAACTCATGAAGAGAAAAGTAGAGATAGTGGAGAGAGATTCATATCCATCCACCCAACTCTTTTTAGTCTTTAGTCTTTTCTTGTGTGCTCCTCCTACATGGCCACCACCAACATGAAAAAAAATTATGCTGCGTTTTAAATTCATTTCCTCCTTACCTTTTAGCCAATTTTATGTTGATGAGATCGAAATGTGATCCACCAATTAATCACCATTTCTAGTTTTTGATGAGATCAAAATGTCATTCAACGCCAATGGGTTCCCACCACAGTGGTGGTGGATTCCCCCTTCCCCCCATGGCACCCAGGATCGAACCCCAGTGGGGTTTCTTTCCTCCAATGTAACCAAAAAAAAAAATGTCATTCAACACTAAATCCAGAAAATTTTTATTAAAAAATGAGATTCACCAAGGGCCATTCCTAGTTATGTTTGTCGGTCACATTTACGGGTTGTTTAGGCCAAAATCAGTCGTTTACTAGGTCAAAACATAGTTTTAATAATGTGGTGAGCATTATATACTTTCTTGTGTTAGAACGAACGTGACCATCTAACTCAAAAATAATTGGTGGAGAGGCTCAAGATCTTTTATGCTATTTATGTTAGACTTCCATCTCCAATGTTAGATATTCTCAACACTCCCCCTCATGTGTAGAGTATTTTTACGCATAATATAAATGTAGGAGCACATGGGAGAATATAAACATTCTACCTAAAAACTAATTGACCATAAATGAAGAGATTCTCTCAGCATTATGAAGAAATGCCATTAATAATACTATACTAAAATGTTTTTTTTTTTTTGTTAATAAATATTTGCACTCCAGATGAGAATAGATTCCGAAAAGAAATTCTAGTAGCACAGAGAACATGTGAATTATAATTATTTTGGGTCATAAAATAGCAGGGATGATGGATTATGCGAGAAATAAATATGCTAAAAAAAAATTTATTAAGTAAATAGGGCTCGTGTTTTATGTGAAGAAAAGCAACGCACGTGTGGGTTTAGTGTGTTTAGTCGGCACGTGGCCTTTCGTGAGCTGCCAAGTTGTAGCAAAAACAATGCAAGTCCACTAATTGCTTGTGTTTGTGGAAAAAATTAAATAAAAAAACAAAAACAGAGACCCTTTTTTATTGTACAAACTAACAAAAGAACCTTAAACTATGGGGTCATGTTTAAATTCACACAGTGACATACTCAAATTCCCGAAAAACTTACAATTGCCTCACTATTAGCCGAACCGTTAACAAATCTTTTAAACGTTGATGTCGAAGATGTGGACCTCACTTTTTTAGTTTGGGGGATCTTTTGTAGTTCGTCTTTTTATTTTTTTTTGGCTAGAAAATAAAATAAAACTTTGAAGTGGATGCACAAAAGCAAGTTTGCTTCATCCACACCTTTATAATTTTTCCCGTGCTACTATACTTTGTCAAGCTTTGATTTTTCAGATTAACTTGGTCATTGGGATTTATTAGTCTCATTATTATATCTAGAATGTTTTAGCAGTCAAACAAATACTTTAGTTTATTGTTGTTGGCTGTTGGGTTTGTTGAATTATATGTGGTGCCATTACAAAACCCAGAAAAGATTCTCATCAAAATTGGTAGGAGGTCACGTGCAATGCTGTCTACAGTCGTTGGTTACTAGAGCATCACTTGAGGTCGGAATAGAAAATGATGCTGAAATAAAAGGTAGGGATTACCGACATCCACTGTTTCCCCTCAGCATCATTGAAAATGTCGTTGTTATTATCATGAATTACCCTGATTATATCAACACTTGAATTAACTTGTGACTTTGGAAACACATGGAATCTCCGAAGTGGGTTCGATTTAATCCATGAACTATGCAACCGAGCCACTCTCCTAAAGTAGCGTTGTCATCATAATTCCAATCTTTAGGGTTTCGATTCCCTATTATCCCCTTTTAATATGGCTCTAATTGAGTGATTTGAGTAAAGATGGGCTCCACTCTACAAACTTGAATATATATATATATTTTTAATCAAAAAAATAAAATCAGAGATTTGGGGTG